CCCCTTCTTGTAAAGCAGCGTGACTATTCCAGTTGCGGGCTCGCTACCTATGCCCTCCGCCTGCCAAGCGTGCTCTAGGAATGCCAGATATTCTTCGCCGAAAATTGGCCAGAATTCTAGCCAGAATTCTCTGGTCAGACCATCCTTCCCCGGGGTCTTGTTCGGAGCCATCGTTTTTAGTGCATCCCATAACTCCTCCTGTGATAAAGGTTCATCCAGCATGGTCGCGTGTTGTCGTGATATTGTGTTTTGTAGGTAGTTTAGGAACTTTGATCTCGCTTCCTCCACTCTTACCCTCGGGAGCTGGTTTTCTGTAGACGTGTATAGTCTACTATAGAAATCGAAAGCCACCCTTAACATCCCTTCCTTGTCTGAGGTAAGCCCCCCTTCCCCTTCTAATTGCTCTATGAGGTTATTCCTTCCCTTGGACTTTATTTTCTGGAAGAAGAATTTGGTCATTCTCTCCCCCTCTTCCTATTCCCTGACTCTAGCCCTCATTTGTAGGCCTTTCATTCTCCACCGTTGCCAGTCCGCCATTTCTCCCCTTGCCTTCTCCAGAACTTTTTCATATAGTTCGTCTCTTGGGGAATTGATAGTATTACGCTCCGCTATCTCCATTGCTCGCGCCAACTCTTCTTCTTTTTCCCTCCTCTTTGCTGTCAGCCTCCTAGCCACTATTGTTGAAGCATTAGACAATGCCAAAAGCAGCTTTGGGAATGTATGTGTGTCTGGGTTGTGTTCTTGACACACTTGTAAAACCGCCCGTCTCATTTCCTAAGTATTCAGGAGGGAGTTGTTGATTTTGTAGAACCCCCTACCTCTGATGGCTTGTTTGTCTGGTGATAGACTCATATGGATAGGTTTGTGATCCAGACCCAGACCGTACGGCAAGCTACCTATACTCACTGATTGCAACATACCTATTACTCCTGAGGACGTCAAGAAATAGTCTATCCGGGAGGCCGACACATGTTGGTTGCGGTTCCTCGTGCGATAAGTGAATTGTCTTTCGTCCGGGTAATACAACCTATAGGGATCTATCAGTTCTAAATTCGTCATTAGGCTATGAATCGGTAGCGATTCTTCTGTCCACCCCTCCTCCTCTGATCTAACCCCTTCTGATAGTCTGTCCAAACTGGGATCTAAGGTGGCGTTCCAGTCACCTACTAGAATCAGATGTCTGTTCCCTTCTAGGATCCCTTTAAGCCTTTCGATCAGATCCTCTCTCTGCTGAGAGTTATTCGGACAGTAAACCGAGAGTAATGTATAGGGTTCCTTATGCAGTTCAAAGTCGACCTTAACCTATCTACCCTCCTCCTCGTCAACCCTTGCTTCTGTGATGCGAATCCCATTTGATGCCGTAGCCCTTTGGTTTTGAAGTATGACTACACCCGTGGAATGGTTACTTGCCGTCGGAGCCCACCATGCTGCCTTAACTCCTTGCAGCTTCTTCTCAATCATGTGCTTCGTTTTCTGGTTTTCTTCCGATTCCTTAAGATGTGTTTCCTGCAAGCACAAGAAATCCGATGGTGACAATGTATACCATCCTGAGTAATTCACTACATTTTGCCATTTGTCTGTATTCTCTAAAATCGCCACCATCCCATTCACGTTCCATGAAGCTATTCTGATTTCCGGTGGACCTGTTCCTCCTTTAATTCTTCTTCTTTGTTTTCTTGGTCTCTCTTCCCCACCTCCCTCCATTAGTTCCCCGTGTTAGAATGTGAACTCTTCTTCTAATTTTCCTTGTTCAGGTATCTTATGTAGTGAGCTCTATGACTGTTGCTACCTCACTTACCCTCTTGTCGAAGAAGTCCGGCTTCCAAACGAAAGCCTCCATCTTTACTGCGACCGTTGTGCACCTCGCCACCCATTCCGTGCCTACTTCCCCTCCCAGCAGCCCATAGGGGATGGTCTCCACCACCTGCCAAGGCATCCAGATCAAACCTTCTCTTAGTTCGGAATCGGCCTCCATTTGGAGTAGCAGTGGTCCGAAATCAGTTGTTGCCTCCTCTTCACTTTCCTCACCTATTGCCATCGGCTCCGCTTCTCCCTCTCTCAGTATAATAGCTCGAGTTGGCACTTCTCCCCCTATTAATCTCTGAAGATCTGAGCCTGAGCATTCCTCCATCGGGGTCGTTATCAGCTGCAAGGATTGTTTGATTGCCACCTCCCAGTCTGAGTGCCTCACATTCCATCGACAGGGTAGGACCACTCTCCTCCTCGTCTCATTCTTAATTTCCAGTCGGGCTGCAACTTCTATCTCCTTCCACTGACCCTTTGCTATTTTTTGTACGTTCACTATGTCATCCTCCAACTCTTTGTTCTCATCCTTGAGTAGGTTTACCTGCACCACCAAGAGCGCGGCTTGCCTTCTCAAGTCCTGCACCTCTTCCTCTTCTCTCTCTCCCTTCCCCAGATCTTCCTCCATGGATGCACCCTCCGTTGAGTCATTCCCCCTACTAGTTGTACTGCCTTGCTCCTCTGCCGTTTGTGCCTTCCGTTTCTTGTCATCCCTCTTCCTTTCCTTGCTGTGGTAGGTCTTCGGCCATTGAAATAACCTCCCATACTCCTCCTGTTGTATGTAGATCTCGTTCTTTACTGTGCAACTCTTTCTTGCGTACTGAGATGCGTAAAACTCGTTGATTTCCCCTTCCCTCCTTAGCAGTTCGAACCTGTTTTCTGATGTGATGTCCCCCCCTGCTTGCTGTCTCTTATACACATCTAGATGTGTATAAGAGACAGGGGGGGGGGTTATAAAGGGTCGGGGGATAGAACCCATAATCCTGAGTAGGAGCGGACTGGGTCCTGGGGTTTAGAGTTTATGAACGAAAGGGGGATGACTCACAGCTACAGAGACAGGGACTCGAAGGTGCTAGGAAAGAAGGCAGAAGACTGCCCCCCAGTAGCTGGGCTGAAGAGGCACCCAAAAGTCGCTCACATCCCCGCTCAGTCAATCCCCCGCCTACAGGGGCAATCAATGCTAGCGGGCACAGTGATATCATCTGCAATCATACTCAATCATCTTGAAACATGCAAATTGTAATGGGGATGCTGGACCCGATTTCCAGCAAGTGACGCTCCCCACCAATGGAACGGAGCAACAAGTTCCCCCTACTAGGATTGGCTGCTCATACCACCTCCCCTAGTAAGAGGGAACAGTTTTTTGTTTATTTTTTTTAAGAAAAAGAACGACAGATGCCCGTCGCGGCTACGCCTGCACCTGTCCCATGTTGGGCGGGTCAGAAGGGCACACCCAGTCCTTCGGAACATCCGTTAAAATTGGAAGGACAGAGGAGATAAGCATGGCCCCTGTGCAAGGATGACATCTACAAATCAAGAATGGCACACCCATCACTCTTGATAAACATACCAGGGCGCAAATCCGAGGACGAGAAGTGCGGAAGCACGTGAGCTGGTTTAAAACTACCATGTCTCTTCCTTCGGGCGCGGTTCTAGCTTCCCCTGCCCTATCAGCATTGGGATCCGAACTTCGGTTTGTATTTGGACAGCTCCGGTATGTACCGGATGCAGCTTAGGAAAAAAATTGAAATGTCGCCAGCCAGAAAACGCCAAAGGGGAAAAGAAAAAACAAGACGTCTGCGGGCACCCAGAGAATCGAAACGATGCCTCTGTGGGCATACTCAAAATGTATCTGAAGCCAATCACGTCCAGGTGGAAAAAACCCTGGCTTAAAGTATGCCCCGAGTCGCGCTGCCCAGGGACTGCTATGTACTTGTATTCAAACCCGCCACGGCTGGACATGATGGGACACACCCGAATACATGAAACTGCCAAGGAGAGGTGCAGCCCATCAGTGCTGCCTGCCACACCCGAATACTTGAAACTGCCAAAGGAGAGGTGCGGCCCACCACTGCCACCTGCCAAGCATAAACCCGAAGACGACAAAAGAAACAAGGTCCTCCGCTAGGGTGCCCTGTCCTGCACGGTTCCGTGCACTGTGACTTTTTGCTGGGCCCGTGGCCAGTGTCACGGGAGACCCGGCTTTACTTTTATAAGAAGGATAGAAGAAAACGTCAAAAAAGAAAGAGGGTGGTTAAGCAGGCCAATGAAACAATGGAAACGGGGCATCATCAGACTCAGTAAATAAGTGAAAAGGGTGTTAATCAGCCCGATTTAGTTAATAGCTGAATGGGTCTTACCCTTGCAACAAATACCAACGGGGGGCATAGCTACATCAAATAATGGAAACGGGGCATCTTGAGACTGAGTAAATAAGTGAAAAGGGTGCTAATCAGCCCGACTTAGTTAATAGCTGAATGGGCCTTACCCTTGCAACAAATAACAACGGGGGGAGTAGCTACATCAGTAAGGTTTGGACGGATTTGGACTTAAGAGTGTTGCGCCAGGCTGTGGGTGGTGCTCTAACGCTGTCTGGTTATGATTTTCCTTTTCTGTTGTATCCTTCAGGACAGGGACTGCTAAACTCTATGGCATATCATCTGTTGCAACCACTTGGGTATGCTGCCTCTCTTTCTCTCTGTGCCTCCATCCCTTCATCTCTCTCTCTCTCTCTCTCTCTCTCTCTCTCTCTCTCTCTCTCTCTCTCTCTCTCTCTCTCTCTCTCTCTCTCTCTCTCTCTCTCT